AGGTAATTAAGTCATGGTTTTGGGCCATCTGCAAGCAGGCAAGCTGCACAAGCAGCTGCAGCAGGGTCCCGGACTCTGCAGGTGCAGCCTCCTGGATACCTGCCACAGCTGTCCTGGGATGCTACAGCTGCTTGTGCAGCCTGCCTGCCTCCTGCTTCAAGCAGCTCCCTCCTCCATGCTCCAAGACTGCAGGGATTCCCACCCTTTTCTCTGCTTGCCAGTAAGTTGGTTTTTGTTTTTGTGGTAGTTTTTTTTGTTGCGGGGGAGGCTGCAGATGGATATCAAAACTGTGGAGCCCTCCATTTTTCAGAGTCCACCTGAATTCACAATTTCCATGAAAATTCCACAACTGCAAATTCATTAGGTCCCTATCACTTAAGTACAACCAATATATCTGGTCAAAACTGGCAGTCTTTCTTCAGTTGACTGTCAGAATTAAAAAAAAAACACCATCCTGTCAAAATGATGCCCTCTTTTAAAGAAGACCTTGGAATTCATATAGGCCTACATTTTTTTCCAGTTTACCTAAAGATTATTTTTAAATTAAAAAAAAGTGACAGTACAAAGCTGCAATGATTCAGAGGTTCTTTTTGTTTGTTTGAATTCAATTAAAAAAAAGAAGAAAAAAGCAGAAGCCAATCTGCCCCAGTCCATTAATTTTAAAGAACTCCCTAAAGAACTTAATCTGGCTCTACTATGAAATTATTACCATTACAAGTTCATAGCCATATGCAGGTACTGTGGACTCTGCAGAGGTGTATGAATTACTCCTTCAGAAGACAATGAGAACTGTGGGTACTTAGTGCCACTAGTGAGGGAAAGAAAAAAAATCATGTCACTTTTTTTAAAGGGCTTAAATATATATGGATGCCTAAATGTAAACACTTAAAATTTGAAAATGATGGTCTTGTTCACTTTTCTGATTTAATAAGAGTTTTTAGACTCCTGTTTCTCACTATGTACATCTATAGCAAATATTTACCCTGAAATTTTGTTTCAGAATACAGATGTGCATGAATGGATACATGTGTACAATGTGTAGCTAGATACAGGCAGGAAGGTGGTCCAAATCAAAGAGCTAGGTTAGTAAGTTATATATATATTTCCCCAAGATCTTGCCTACTGTAACACGGATAGGTTAGTAATTGAGCAGCATTTTTTAAAACTATGTGAGTATGGGAGGGGATGCAGACTTGTTAAATTAGCTGTTGCAGCCTGCACCTTTGCTGCATTTATACATGATGACATATCCAGCATGAGAAGCAAACCTACAAGAGTAGCCCAGGAAAGAAGAAACAATTACGTTTCCAAGGATTAATGTACTGAAATGCTTCTGAAAAAATAGTATTTGTTTCAACATCTAGTACCTTGTAACAAAGTTGACTTATTTTATTGTGGGTAGACGGTTTATCTTAAACAGCATAGAGACTAACCTAAATACTTATTCCCCTGCAGAACAGACCTGTAGGATATTGTTTGCACTCACATAGTAGATGCATCAGGCAGGATGGTTTCCGAGATGACAAATGTGTAATTCTGCCATAATTTTATAGAAAATAGTTGTCATGAAACCTAACCATGATCAGTATACCTTCCCACCCCAGCAAGATCTAAATCAGGGGTGAGCAATTATTTTGACTGGAGGGCCACTTAATGAAGTTTGGTGAGGTTTGCCAGAAGGGCCGCACACACAAAATCTTTCAGAAGACATCATTTTAACATATTATAGATGAAAAACAGATCATATACTAAATATCTAACATTTACTGTAACATATTTAAATTTTATTTCAAAATATATTTTTTGTCCTGATTTATGTTTTTTGAGTAGTGTATATAGAGGTGATTACATAATACCTCAAAATAAAGTTTTACTCTTGTATATTGTGTGGGGGTTCTGGGTGCATGTGTGTGGAGGGGTGGGTGTGCAAGGGTGGGTTTGTGGGTCTGCCCACATGCTAGGTCCTGGGAGCCAGCTGGGGGTGGGGGAAGGGAAGGGCAAGAGGCACATGCATCAGAGTTTACCCAGGCAATACTGTGTGGCTGAGTCTGTCCTCTTGCCATACCAGACCCGCAGCTGCCCTCGTGGTGCTCCTCATGGGGCCAAGCCCCACCTACTCTTGCCAAAGGGAGCCTGAGCAGCGCTCCTGCCTGCACCAGCCCCGTGCTCATTAGACAGCACCAGCCCAGCCCTGTCCAGCATGTATGGCTTCCCAGCAGGGCTGCTGCTGCTGCCCCCCAGGTGCTCGGCTCCCCCAACCTCCAGTGTCTCCTCCTCCTCCTGCCCCTGCTGCAATGCTCTGGGCAGCAGGTAACACAGGGAAGCCATGGGGGTGCATGTGAGGCAGCAGATGCCCAGCCACACGTGGGGGGAAACTACAGCCAGGCAGCTCCTGCCCCAGCATGCAGGGCTTCAGTTCTAGCTTCCAGCTGCCTTCCTTTTTTCTTCTAAGAGCAGCCACCTGAGGGTACGCTGAGTGGGTGGAAGGTGGCCAGGAGCTGGAGCCCTGTGCGCTGAGGGGAGGGGGCTCCTGGCTGCAGCTCCCAACGTGCCTGGCTGGGCATCTCCATACATCCCTACAGTTTCCCTGCATTACCTGTTGCCTAGAGCAGTGCAGCAGGGGCAGGAGGAGCAGCCACTGGAGGCAGGGGGACCCGAGCACCCAGGAGGCTGTGGGAAGGTACATGTGCTGGCTGGGGCTGGGCTGGTGCTGTCTAGTGGGTGCAAGGTAGGCGCTGGCAGAAGCACAATATGGGTTGCCCCAGGCAGGAGCTGGCAGGGTTGTGCCCCATGCAGAGTGCCACAGGGGCAGCCATGGGCCGGATACAATCAATTGGGAGTGCCCGCCAGTGGGCCGGATCCAATCAGTTGGCAGGCTGGATCTGACCCACAGACTGTATTTTGCCCACCCTTGATCTGAACTCACTATTGTCTCAAAGAGCCTTTTTTACTCACGTCTAGGCATCAGATGTAGAACATGATTCAATGGAGCCAAAAAGTTAGAAATTATGTCAGGAAATGAAAACAAATAGGTTTCATGGAGAGCTTTAAGCAAACCATGCTTAGTAGAGTTCAAATTTGCCATACATTCCACAGTTCTCATTTAGTCTAAGTATTTATTATTAAAAATGTCAAGGTCCCCTTCTCCCCTTAGTTATATTTGTGCTATCCCCTGCCGTGGGTCTCACACCCTAAAAACACTGACACAGTAGTGACAGGCTGAGAGATGAAAGATAAACACTATAAAATACTTTTTATATAGCAGTGTAACAGGAATGTTACTTCTAGAGGTTCCTCTAAATAATATTAATATATTACACCTTTTTAGATAGAAAAAAATCTATTCTATAATTCACAAGTAAGTTATTATAAGAAACAAACAGATATTAAGTCACAGGCTGCTCAGATGCTTGTTTCTAAAGGCTGAGAATTTAAAAATCAGGAAGAGTCAGAAAAGAAAAGTCACTTGCAAACACAGAGTTACTATTTTAACATGACATCTGATTTAATGCCTTAATAGTTCAGAACAGGAAGGAAAATACAGCGTAGTTTTCTTATGGCCAGATTCTCTTATGCAGACATTCTATATAGCTGCTCCATCTCTATGCAAGAGCATAGTTGCTCATGTTTCAACAGGCATATTGCTGCAAACCATATATCCAATATAGGAACTGAATATTACAGAGGTGTGGTAGTTATTTAGACTTTTGCTGTCGAACATGTAAATTAGGGAAACCCAGTTTCAGCTGAACTCTTCTATTGCAAAAGCTGTCATTTGATCAAAATTATCCTGGTTAAATGCTTTACTTCCTCTTAGACCATTTCCTTTCTTCCATCATTTGCGTCTCATCTATTCAGGCTGGGGCATCTCTGGGGCAGACTGCCTCTATGTGTTTGTCCACATTTAGTGCCGTGGTTTTGGTTGGAACCTCTAGATCAGTAGTTCTCAACCTTTTTAGATTCAAGACGACCCTTGAAAAATGCCAGCTCTTAGCTGTTTCTCATTTTATGACTACAGAAAAATACTAAAGCTATTCTTATGTTGCAAAGAACTTAAGAAGGTCAGAACAACATGCTACGGATTTCTATTTGAAATCTTGGGTTTATCTTGTGAATCATGTTTGCACACCGAACAGTACTAACATTGTGCGGTACCCTGTGGCAGTCTTGAAAGGATCTCAAGGCACCTTAGGATGCCACAGTACACTGGTTAAGAATCCCTGCTCTAGATGATACCATAATACAATCACTGACCTTACTCTTTCAGTGAAAATAAGTTAAAATTCTCTCCCCTTCAATCACAGATTGGGTCTCCCCACAGTAACTTTCACTGCCTTCCTTCTCTCTATCCACCACCCAGGGTGGGGACAAAAGATCCCTAAACCAACCCATTCTCCACACCAAGGATGTCTTCAGCACCAGTCAAGGTGTAAGAGACTCAATCCTCTTGTTGAGTCCCATGAACCCTTGTTAGAGTTACTGAGGGGTCCCAAAGTGACAATGAAAACAAAACAAAACCAACAGAAGTTGGTGGCAGGCCTCCCTGCTTTCAAGGGGCTGCTGGCAGTTTGTATTCTACCTCAGTGCCCTCAGACAACCCTCTTGTGAACAAGAGGTCTCTCCCATGACAAGCAGGTCTCTCCCATGAGCAAGTCAGGACTGACCATGGCCATGCAAGTGGCTTTGTTCCTCATCCATGTTCCTCTCCAGGAGCTGAGGATGGGAGATCTGTTCACTGTCACCAGAGGCTATTCTCAAGGATCTGGGTGTTCCTTTGTGTAAGACCTTTTCTCCAGGCCTGACACATCTCAGAGAAGGGTGGAACAGGCCTCCTTAGGCCCACAGGTATCCTCTCTGCTGTGGGCTTTATATATCCTATTTCAACTTTTTTACAAATACTTCTGTATTTTTTACACAAGTGCTGAAGATTGTGACACAACAGCAGAGTGAAACTGAATGCTTTTGCTTTAAACACACACACAATCATGTTGCTCGCTTACCTGTCAATGAACTGATCAATTATTATAATATCACCAGGCTGTATTTCCTCTCTTAATGAACCACAGGCAGTAGTAACAATAAGGTGAGTGCAAGCCTCTTCCTTCAGTGCCCAGATGTTGGCACGGAAGTTAACATTTGATGGCATGATGGTATGATGTCTTCCATGCCTGCAAAGACAGATGAAAGAGGAATAAAAACTAAAGTAAAAACAAAAAATAAGAAATCAACCACCAGCAGTTCTGGAAATGTAAGTGTTTAAGAAGAACTATGTTCTTTAATAACTTAAAATGTTGCTAATTTTCACAATTTTATAACCACTCTCACATTATTTGGTGTATTTTTAAAAGCACCAGTTTCCTGGAGTCCTGTAACTAACTGAAAACTACAACTTTAATTTTAGAGAGAAATTACGTTTCTAGTCCTCCTTGTCAAGAAAAAAGAAAAAGTGATCCAAGTATACCCTAATTTTCTTTTTATAAATGTAGTAGATAAAAAAATATTTTAAATTCTTATGATCTTTAATCCCCATAAAGGATGGGGACCCATAAATTTTGAACATTTAAGATTGTCAATATTGGATTTTCAACATGCAGCAAGAGTTGTAAGATTTATTTGTAACATTTTATGTTTTGTATTAAAATTCTGTTGATACATACAACTTATTTTTTAAATGATACTTCAGTGAAGGCAAACACAAAACCAAAAAACAAGTTAGAAGATAAAGGGCATTAATTGAATCCTCCACATTCCAATGCAAGGACTAAGTTTACACATCACATCTTCCATCTATGCCCTGTGTCACTATTAATTAGTATGACAGTTAGTGCTTTCTCTTCTCCTTTCTTGAATACAAATTTTGCTCAATTTTACAAGCACAAAGTTTGTTCTTTCCTGTCAGCATTTCTGTTTCAACATGGAACTTACCAGTCAAGCTAGTTTCCTTCACATCTTCATTGTTGTAATGAGTAATAAATATAATATTTTGCAATCAGAACCCAATAGCAGTAAAATGAGCAGAAAAGATACAGCTTGCACTTCATAGCATTTACAATGCATATAGCAGTAAGATTCGGCAAAGACAAAAATCGTAAATTTCCCTATGTTCCTGTAATCACTCATTCCATCCCTCAAGAAATGCCAGGAACATAGGATTTTCCCCATGTTTTTTTAAATTGTAACACAAAAAATTCACAACTTTCCAAATTTTCTCCACCTTGAAAGTCATAGGATTCTGTCATTTGGGCAAAGCCTATCCTAAAATTTTACATTCAGGTTTGAGCAATAATGACAAACTTGGTTTGCTCAGCTACTCCTGAATGACATGCTTTTAAGGAAAAGTTGTCAAATATGGTATTGAATGTTAGCCAGACAACCAAATTCTATTTGCATAGAATCATAGAAAATTAGGGTTGGAAGGGACCTTGGGAGGTCATGTACTCCAACCCCCTGCTCAAAGCAGGACCATCAGCAACCAAATCATCCCACCAAGGCTTTGTCTAGCCAGGTCTTAACAGCCTTTAAGGATGGAGAGTCCACAACCTCTCAGGGTAACTTGTTTCAGTACTTTACTACACTCTTTGTGAGAGAGTTTTTCCTAATATCTAAACCAGTGGCTGGCAAAATACAGCCTGTGGGTCGGATCTCTGCCCACCAGACACTTCCATCTGACCTGTGGTGCCCACCAACTAATTGTACCCTAGCCCTTGCACTCACAAGGGTGGGAGCAATGTGCCCGCATATACACCCCTCCTGCCAACATACTCTACTGTGCCTCACTCCCACCCTTATGGATGGAAGAGTCCAGTCTGGTCAGCATGCAGCTTTTGGGCAGGGCTACCTTCCCCTCCCCCTGCCATGTAGGTAACAGGACTCGGCAGGAAAATTGGGACCGGGGCTTCCCTCCACTTCTGGCAGAGTCCCGGGACTTGTGCAGTAGGGAGTGGGGAAGGCAGCCAGCTCCAGTGCATGGAACTTCCCTCCGGTGGTGTGTGAGTGCAGGAGTTGCATGTGCATGGTGGGGAAACCTGGCGATAGAGGTGGCCTGGCTGGGCTGTGCTCCTCGACATGACATGCAGTGCTGGCTGGAGCTGCGCACTGGGTGGCAGCGATTATGCCAGGCATAAATGTCCCCACCTGTTGTTGCTGCCACCTGTGAGGGCTGTATGTCATGAGGCAAGTGTGGGGGGTGGGTCCCCACACTCCACAAATGCCACACACCCACACCCTGCCCCTATAGCCCCCCCACATATACATACCCCTCCTACATATCCTTTTACCCCCTAGCTAGCACATCTTGCTCCTACTGGTTTTTCAGGTGCCGCTGTCTCCTTTATGGTTGACAGTTTGTCTTCCAGTCAGATGTCTTAGACAGTCCCTAGGGGTTCTTTCCTGCCACATCTTGTTGGTATAAGTTTACTATCAGGAGGATGGTTTTACACCCTGCCTCCCCTGGTTTCCTCCTTCAGTCTTCCCGTTTCAGGGGTCCGCCTCCCCTACACCCCGCCTTATGTCAACCACAGATGTTAATATCAGACCGCGACTAAGACAGAGTCCGCTCGTCATGGTAAAGGTTTTTGTTTTGCCTTCTTAGGTTTGAAAAGTCCAGTTCGGATGGTGTACCATCCGGTTTTGGGCTGTATGTTAACTGGCCTGTAATTTTACCCATCCTGGGTTAGCTCGCTCCCACTTACGCTCCTTTCTCTCTCTGATTCTGGTCCACAGCAGCCCAAGATTCCTTCTCTCTCTTTCTCCAGGTTCATCGCTGTCCCATTCCTGGCTGGCTGTATCTGGGATCCAGTGCTCCATCCCAGGTAAGTACCTAGATCCTGTTGGGCTTATATTATCCCGGCATGCCCCCTCTCGGGGCTCCCACCATATGCCATTGGTGGGGCTACAGACAGCTACAGGCTGCTCTGGGCCTTCTGGAGGGTTTAATTCCGGTCCTCCCCGATCTCTGTCTGGCTCACTCCGGCTCTTCCTCTTTGATCTTTGGCGCAGTGTTTTTTTTTGCCGCAGCCCCATTCCTCCTGCACTTCCAGTCTCCAGCAGCGTGTGTCATATATATATATATATATATATATGACACACACACACATATATACATATACACACACACCCCACCATACACAGCCCCCCACTTCACCATATACAGACACACCCACCACACCCTACCATACCCCCCACACACAATATACAATAAAACTTTATTTTTTAGTTATTATGCATATCACCTCTATATACAGTATGCAAACACAAATCATGACAAAAATATTTTTTGTAATAGAAGTAAAGTATGTTATAATAGGCATTTGACGTTTAGTGTATGATTTGTTTTTTTTCTGGTTCTAAGATGGCAACCCCCCTCCCAAAAGGAACATTTGGGGAGCAGGGGGGAGGGGGAGGGCAAGGGGAAGGACTTCCAGTGGCAAGGTTCAGGGGTTAGGGGCAGGACTTCCAGTCTCAAGATGGCAACCAGGGGGTGGGGCAACTGTGATGGGGCCCTCTAAAGCTCACCAAACCTCATTAAGTAGCCCTTTAGCCAAAATAATTCCCACTCCAGCCTTGACAGGTGTCCCGCCCCCTGGCTGGCATCTCGAGACTAGAAATCCCACCCTCAACCCCTGAACTTTGCCAATGCAAGTCCATTCCCTTGTCCTGGAAATACTCCTTTTGGGAATGGGGTTTGCAGTCTTGGAATCAGAAATCCCTTCCTGTCACACAGTCCACGACATAAGAAAACCCACCCACCAGACACCAAATCCTGACCAACCCTCTCACTGCCATGGTGACTGCCCTGTTGACCACTATGTTGGTCCCAGGATCCCCTGGCCCCATCACATGGTCTCCGACATCAGAAGGTCACCCGTGGTTACGTGGTTAACCGGCGGCTTCAAAGCTGGTGCCACAAGGCAGGCTTTGGGTTTTTTGACAACGACCCATGTTTTTGTAAGGAGGGCATGCTGGGGTGGGATGGGCTTCACCTCTCCCCTAATGGCAGACGTATCTTTTCCTCTAGGTTGGCTGATCTCGTACGATGGGCTTTAAACTGGCTACGCTGGGGGAAGGGGCCGCTTTGAGTGGAGAGGATGCTTCACCAGCATGCAGGGTGACAAGAGGAAGGGAAGCACAGGTAAGTATCAACATCCGAGGAGCAGGGGGCCACAACTGTCCTGGGAGTGGGAGGAAGGCACAAGCACCCTCAGGAGGCCTCAGATGCCTCTACACTAATGCTCGTAGTATGGGGTGTAAGCAGGAGGAACTGCGCCTCCAGATTGCAAGTAAGAACCCAGACTTAGTAGGGCTCTCAGAAACCTGGCAGGACCCTACCTATGACTGGGCGGTGGGCATTCGGGGGTACACCCTATATAGAAGAGACAGGACAGAGAGGAAAGGTGGGGGGAGGTTGCGCTTTATGTCAAAGAGCACCTCACATCATCAAGGATTAGCTTCGGGTTAGAGGAGGGTCGGGCAGAGACACTATGGGTCAAACTACAAGGGGGGCAAGGCGAAAGGGACCTTACAATGGATGTCTACTACAGACCACCCAACCAGGGGGAAGAGCTGGACCAGGACTTCTCCAGTCAGCTTATGGAGGCGGTTAGGTCAAGGGATGTTATTGTCATGGGTGACCTAAACTACCCAGACATTTGCTGGGAGGAGCAGACAGCCAGGTCTGACCGCTCGCATAGGTTCCTGGCTGTATTACAGGACCTTCACCGTATCCAGGCAGTGCACAGCCCCACTAGGGGTAACACCTTGATGGACTTGGTCCTGGCCATGGGGGATGACCTGGTGAGGGGACTGCAAGTCCTTGACCACCTGGGCAATAGCGATCATCACCTGCTGGATTTCACTATCCAACGCAGGGTGTCTAGGGCTCACACCAAGGCTAAAGCCCTTGATTTCAGAAGGGCCAACTTCAATGAGCTTAGGAGACTAGTGGGGGAGGCACTAAGGGCCCAGAAGGTAGAGGAGATGGGAGCCCACGAGGGATGGCCGTACCTTAAGGGGGCGATCCTCCAGGCCCAAAGG